GTTTGTGTGTGTATTTTGTATACGATATACACAATAATATACGTCGTTTGGCCCACAGGCGGCAATAACATAGCCAAGCATTTCATAGTCCCAGCAAAGTATACTCACACTGCCTACTCTATATATTTATATATATATATATATATATATATATATATCTATTTACATGTACGTTTGAATGTATGCATATGTTTATGCGTAAGCTTGCCTACAAACTCCTCATATATACTTTTGTATGGATGTGTGTTTGTAAATACATATCTTCTTCCTTTTTTTCTGGGGCTTTTAATATTTATAATAGAAAATGCCAAACACTCACAAAAAGGAGCAGTTTGAGGGATGATCGATAGGTGGGGTTAAGTTATAGTTAGTCCGTTTGTGTTAGTTGTTGTTCTTGTTGTTGTTGTTGCCTTTCCCATTTTGGCCGGTTAAATGAATGCCGAGATGGTTAGATGTATAGATTGTTGGTACGTTACTTGAATGAAATGGAATGAATTGCAAGTATTGGAATGACCGAATGGTATGAGCAAATCGATAACACTCCTTGTAGCCGTATTGTTAATTCTAATGCAAAATGCGTATTTATACAGTTCATGTTTTTTTTTTTTTTTTTTTTGCCTTTTTTTTTTTATTTACAAAATCCAACATTTAGAGGTTTAGGGGAAAAATTGCCAGATACAGGCATACATATAAGCATAAAAAAAATGCAAGTCTCGATGCTTAATACGCACATATATAAATATAGGCAAGTAATTGCTAAAAAGTGCGTTTGAATACGCATTAGATGCACACACACAAATGCTTATATTATTAATGCATTTACACATAAGCACACACACACACACACACAGAGGCATACACTTTTGAGTGCTTGCTTACTCCTAAACATATCTAAGTATATATGTGTATGCGCATAAAAATCATTCATTTTTTAAAAACATTTTTTTTTTTTTTTTTTTTATATGTGTGTACATATACGAGCCATACAGTAAGTGATGTGAGTTATTTGTATTTGTATTTGTATTTTACAGTTTTTGTTTTTCTTTCTTTCTTTCATTTCATACTGTGGTCAATGATTCATTTTTCAATGCATGCGTAAATGCAAAGCAATCAATTGACTGCGTACTAGTCATTAAAAAAATAAAGCCAAGCTGCAGTTAGTCAGTAGCTATAAACATGTAAACGTTTTTTTTTTTTTTCTTTTTCGATTTTCGTTTCATGCTATCATTTTATCCTTTTTTAGGAATTTTATATCCAACCACTTGATTGTTGTGCGAGCAGCAACAAAAGCATAGATGAATCTTTAAAATAAACTTTTGTTAATTAAATTCTAAATAAATTAATTAGAAGTAAGCATCAAATTAAACTTTGCATATGCATAAGCATTGCTTTCTTGAATTAATTAAGTGGGTTAGCAAAATATGATTAACGTTTTTTCTTTTTTTTTTTTTTTTTTTTTTTTTTTTCAAAAGTAAAGATTTGTACTACTTAAGGCAAGTAAAGCATGTTAGTAAAATTCCTTCGAAAAGACAATTATTCTAAATAATTGGAATGTGAAAGTAATATTTGATGGATTTCTCAATTACTAAAATAAGTTGAGAACACAACTAAAGAATTTTTCACTACACTAAGTACGGTTTTATCTTATCAGGATAATAGATTTCAGATAAATTCAGATAATTTGAAGATTACTTAATTGTTAAGGAAGAAATCTCTGATTCATATACATATATACACTTATCCATTACTAAAAGAACTATCTTCACGAATTTTCCATCTCACAACAAAATTATTCGCTCAGTTATGATAATATGTATGATATCATTTATTAAATTATTTCTCTACTAACGACAACGATTTCTTACTTGTTCCGCCGAAGTGAAAATTTCAGTCTGCTCTTCTCTGAGATCACTTGCAAGCAATTACAAAATTATAGTTTACGCTCTGTCGATATTGTCATTATCTTTATTATTATCGTCATATAGAACCGTATGGTTTCATATGCATATATATATATATATATATATAGAAATATATATCTCATATCGATTGAAGAAATCATCTTATTTAAGGCAACAAATCATTTCTTACGCTCAATTGGAATTCAGACTCGCTCGTTTGCTTCCTTGCGGTGAGTATGAAAAATATTACGCTTACCCTTCACGAATATGACAACGATCATTAGTTTCATAAAGGAAAATTTCGGTATTAATTTTCTCTTCCAACAACAATTATAAACATTATATTGTACATTACGAGAGCAGCAGGAGCAAAAGGGGATTGGCAGGATACAAACACCGGATGAAGGAAAAATAAATTTCTTTGAATTTACTATTTTGACAAATCCTTATTTGAAATTTCTTGCTTATGCCTTCACTCTTCTATCTTCGTTTGAAGCCTTTACGTTTTTGTTCGCACAGCGAACTCTACAAGTCATCAGAGAAACTAAAATAACAGCGGCCAGAAATTGTAGATTTCATACAATTTTTCAATAAACTTACACACACACACACACACACAAATATATTAAGGTTACCTTAGTTCTTTTCAATCATGCCAAATACTTTGGTTTTATGACGCACTAAAAGTCTTTATGGAAGAAATCTAATTTTAAATAAACCGCCACTAAATCTAAATCTTAAGCCTAAAAGGCCTCTAGCGTCTAGTTATCATTAAAATTCATCAATAGGTATCGCCAAACGTAAAAACGTTTAGCAACTTAGCAAAAAAAAAAAAAAGGAAAGATAATGTTGGCGATCTTCAGATTTGTGAAAAATATTAATCAAAAATATTATATAAATAAAATGTAATATTTTAATTTAAAATGGCATTCGAAATTCTCCAATATTTTTATAGAAACTTTAATGCGTGTTCCTGTGGCAATATGTTTAAAGAATATCATGGCCTCCTTTTGGTAAACCTCCAAAATGCGGGCGTAGCTATATCGATACATTTACGTTTGTATTTTAGATTACATTTCTTCTATGTACAAATAATCTATTCTATACTATTTATAATTAAAAAGAACTGCTCACCTTAAATAAAAATGGCTTTTTTCCACAAATTTTATTAAATAACTTAATCACACAGAAAAATTGCATCCTTTAATTTTAGCGATGTGATATTTTTTAGTGAGAGAACTGAACAACTTTTACCAGCATACATATCACAACTTTTTAGTAAGAGAGTTGAACAACTAGTTTCAGTTTATGCAACAGGAGAAAATGAAACAATAATTCTGTACACGCAAACATGCATTTACTTCTTGTTCTTTTTTTCTCTATCCTAAATTCAATGTCCTTAATAATTTATGTATTTCACTTTTTTTTTATTATTTTTTGTATTAATTTTCAAAAGAAAACATGTAAAATGTGGTATTAATCCGGATGTAGAACTTAATTTGTACAATTAACCCAGCTGTAGAACTCAATTTGTGGAATTAACTCAGCTGTACAATTTTTCTTATTTATTACAAGCAACTCTGTGCTCTCTGTATTTTCAACACTAGGTCCCTTTTTTATCAACGGTGTAAAAGAAAAACGCAGCTAACGGCTTTCTAAGCAAACAGAACAGTTTGACAAGCTTACAAAGCAATGATTGCAATTAAGAAATTAATAAATTTTAGTAAATTATTAAGCATATTTTAGAAAAAATATAACAAAGAAAAAATGTACATTTACTGATAAGTGCATTTCTTATTACGCACAATTTCATTTGTTATCAAGGAGACCCATCTGAGATTCACATAGTTTTCTTGGGAATATCGTTGGTGTAATTTTTATATCTTTTGTGTTATTAATTTCCTCTTTTGTGTACCAATTAAGCGAATGTTTTGGAATGTTTTTGAACGTTCAGAATGTTTAGAATATTTTAGAACATGTCATGGCGTGACGGTTTTCGCGCTTTTGAAAATAGATAAAAATGTTGTAAAGAAAAGAAACTCAACTTTAAAGAATTATTCATTGTATACACACACATACATGGATGAATATTGGGAAAATAAATAGACGGAAATCCAAAAATTATTCTGATGATGCTGATAAGAAGACTCGGGTCTATGGTAAATCACATTGACTGCTTCATATATCCCATTAAACGTCACAACTTAGACCAGGTGCTCTGTTGACTTCCATCATCACAACAATTGATTGTGAACGTGGCAATTTTATAAGTTTATTACACTCTACCAGTACTATTAGCGTAGTTTATATACCTATAGCTTTTAATTATCTGTAGAAATTTTTTACCAAAATATGAGCATGGAGCATCACTTTAATTTACTGTCACTTGATAACCCATTTCATAAGGAATGTGCAAAATGATTGTCTGCATTCAACCGTTACTTTCCATTCGTCTGCATACAATCCGCATTGATACTTTGTTTTATCCAAAATAAAAAAACCAAAATATCTAAAAAAGCAGTGGCGAATATAATATATATTGATATGGCGGCACATATACTTGTTGTTGTAATGCCGCCAATATGAATGCAGGTGTACAATAAACATACGTTATTGTTTTTCTGCCCTGTATCCTTTTGACTTAGAGGCTGAAGGAAGAATTCTTGGGATTTTTTTTTTAAATTAGAGAAAGCATTCGTTGTTACTTTGTCCGTGAATTTTGCCTATTTTTAACATATACAATTCCATAAGCGTTTAGAAAGCATAAGCTAAAATTATCAACTAATAAGTTGTTTCTAAATTTTGAAGAACAGTTTGCTCTTATGTCAAGGATGCATTATGCGTATATACACTAACTAAGCACGTGTTGTAATAACCTATTTATACATATGTATATAAGCATGTCATATTTTTTAATATTTATTATTTCTAGACCTAACAGAGGTGCTTCATGTTTTTCCAATTCTTTGCTAACATTGAATAGAATAAATAACCAGTCTAGTTAATAAATAAACTAGAAACAAAAAGAAAAAAACCAAAATTTCTTTATATAAATGTATTTGAGTGTACACATTTGGATCTGAGGCTTTACGAAGAAATTTGACATGAATAGAACATTGACATGAAGAACACGATTTTTGGATATGTTGACATCTTTCTCTCTCTCTCTTTCTCTCCCTCAACCACCATACGATACGCTTTCGATTACTGCAGATCGCAGAGTGCCTGGAGCGATTTTTCGAGTGCTTTGCGCGAATCGAAGAGTGCTTGGCGCGTGTAATTAAGCGGCCAGTGACACGCGCCGAGTGTCCCGTGACAGTCGCCGAGTGCCTCGACCAACCCATTGAGTTCGCTGAGTGAGCGGTCGAGTGCCCAGACCAAACTGTCGCGTGCCTGATCCGACTCGGTGACAGCCTGCTCCGACTTGGCGACTGCCTGGAGCGACTCTTTGAGTGCCTTGCACGACGCGAAGAGTGCCTGGCCTGACTCTTCGAGAGCCCCCCACCATTTGCTGACTGCATCCTGCGCCTGCTCGACTGCCTGGGCCCACTTGGCGACTGCGTTTTCACACTCGTCGACTGCGTGGAGCGACTTGTCGAGTGCCTGGCTCGACTCGATGATTGCCTTAACTGACTCTTCGACCGCCTGCTCCGTGTCGTTGTCTGATTGGAGCGAATTGTCGAGTGCCTGGCTCGACTCGGTGACTGACTGGAGCGAAATGTCGAGTGACTGGCTCGACTCGGTGACCGACTGGAGCGAATTGTCGAGTGACTGGCTCGAGTCGGTGACTGACTGGAGCGAATTGTCGAGTGCCTGGCTCGTCTCGACGATTGCCTTGACTGGCTCTTCGACCGCCTGCTCCGACTCGGTGACTGACTGAGGCGACTTGTCGAGTGCCTGATGCCACTCTGCCACTGCCACTGTCTGATGTGGCTCCGCTGGTGCCTCACCCGACTCGGCAAGTGCCTGGCATAATTCGCCGTCCACTTGGCTCATCTCGGTGATTGGCTGGCGCTTATCGTCAATATGAGACCACGATTTGTGAATTATCTTTTATTTCGCAAGTTGTTTAAAGTGGTGGAAGAATAGTGTTGCAATCTTTGGCTGAAAAAAACATGTTTTAGAAATATTATCCTAAATTAAAAAGATAAATTCGTTGTTCTAATAATGCAAAGATGACAGATTTTTACTGCAAAGAGATAGTGGAGGCCACCATATAACTTGAAAAAGCCAAAAGAATATCTAAGACCATCAAGCCTGTGACACTTGAAAATTTGATTTTCATGCAGACCCGCTAATCTTACAAAGCTCGCAAATATAACATGGTATAGCATGAACCATTTTTAAATATAATTTATCATAGGCGTGACCACTCATGAATCTATAAAAAATTTTGATCTCCTAGGAATTAAAGGAAGTCTCTGATAAAGATTTGAAGATAAATGTGGAATTTATTTTATAGAAAAGGCGATTGGATTTGGGGCGCGCAATATCTTTATAATTATCATTTAGTTATTGAAAGATGTGTTAACGAATTGCTCGCATTGCTTCATTGGGAGTATGTTTGATGAACGAAATTGTGCCCTCAACTTGAATGAAAATCAGCTTTTCCATTTCACAAAAAAAGGCGCAGTGATCAGGAATCTAAACAAGGTGACAGCCATCCAGTTGAGATTCATATAACATCCTGCATATATCAAACATACATTGATTATCTGCATATCTTTTATTTACTTTTACTTTTTTTGAAAAACCAGAAGATAAACTAAAGCAAAAATAAAAAACAACAATAAAAACTCAACCGGAACGAATAATAAACAACAACAAGAAACAGCTACCGGCCGGCATACACAATGCCATCATAATTAAAATTAAATTAAATTAAATTACATACACCCATGTACAATTAGCAAAACCAGCGAAACAATAATAATCGCTTACTATAAATAGCCGAAAGGATCGGAAATTCACAACTTCAACTTAATTTTTTTAATGAGAATAGTAAAAGAGAAAAAAATAAAAAGCAAGTGGGAAAATTAAATTCGCACGAATCTTTTATATCCATCACCGTTTACCCCAAAAAAAAGACGAAAAAATAAAAGAACAAAATTCTCATGCGCTCATAACAGATTTTACATCCATTACACAGACGGACAGGCGGACTTTTCGGCTTAGATCGATTTAAAATTTAGTTCTGACCAAGAATATATATATATATATATATATACTATATATATAGTTTGTCTCTGATGCTTCGTCTTCTGGGCGTTGCAAACGTTTTGACAAAATTAATATACCTTCTTACTTCGGTGATGGGTATAAAAATATGAACATGCCGCTAAGAATTGAGAACATAAAACGGAAAATATGAATTATTACTTACAATTTTATATTTGTATTCCCAGTAAATATATTGATAATAAAATAAACGATGTATAAGAGATTTTCAACACGGCAATGACTTCTTCAGTTGTTTCTCACAAACTTTCTAGTGGGATCAACTAGCAAATACAAAAAAAAAAAAAATGAATAATAGAAGATACGCGCAATCTTTTATTTATTTATTTTTTTCTTAATATTATTCACGATGCTTCACAGTTTTTCGATTCAGACCCTTTAAACTTTGTAGAGATTTCTCACGGCGTGGATGGAATGCTGTGCATTGAAGCACGGTTTTTGTATATATGTTTGTTAGAAGCAAGAAATAAAACACTCTGTAATTCTCCTGTTATTTCAAGAGTTTGTGCTTTACAGATTCAGGAAAGCTATAAAAATTAAACAAAATTTACAAAGGACTTAAAAAAAATAAGAAAAGTTATGAGCAAAAGAAATGACAAAGTCGCGAAAAGGTTAACTTAATAACGACAGTCGAATGTGAAAAGTTCTTTGTTTCATTCGTCTTTGTTTTCATTACATGCATATATTCAAACGTTCGTTCCTTTTCTAATTACTCTTACTCTCTTAGAAGCTCTAAATGATTATGTTAAGAAAAATTTGCGAACTCATTATATGAAAATCGCGCCAAAAATTGAAAGAAGAAAACACGAAAACAGATCGTAAACAAAATCACGCACGCACGCCCACACACACCTGAACGTATTAAATAACACGCGGTAGAATATAGGTTTTTCACTCTTATTATTTTATTATTATTATAAATTTAGCCAGAGAATCAATTCTAAGACTAAAGTCTTAATCACTAACATCTAAAGCTTTCGACTTTTCACTCTTATATTAACTCTTATGTTCCTGCACATTTTCGTTGCACATGCCCAAAAACCAAAGCCGGCAAACCTCGTGCAATAAAATAAAAGCAAACAATCTTACAATTCTAAAGTTTTCTAATGTCTTTCTTGTTTTTATCCAATTTATTGCTCACCTCAAAATCTCTACCATCACCATGTAAAATTACAATAAAATGGAGATAAAACGTCGAAAAACGACAAAACTGCTGCTCTTACCAAAGTTTTTACATATATTTCGCATAAAATGTCTGCAATAACACAAACGTAAATTCACTCTTTTTCTGTGCTTATTTTTTTTTTGCTTTATCTATTTTGCATTTACTCTTAATTGCTTATTACTTTTTTTGCACAACTTATTGACAAGTTAAAATTTTTAAACTTAATAACTTTTGATTCTTTTCAAAATGAAATCTTTTTCATTTGTTAGCACTAGTTTCGCGTTTATTTCGGCTATATATATACATTATTTATGTATAAATAAGAATAAATAAGAAATTAAGTACATACGCAGTCCAAGCGACGATTAAAGCTGAGACGGTAAAACTCTCAACTGACTATGAATCTAGGTGGATTTCAGGCCAGTTCCTTAAATTACTCTCATATGACTGTGAATCGAGGTGGATTTCAGGCCAGTTCCTTAAATTACTCTCATATGACTGTGAATCGAGGTGGATTTGAGGCCCGCTTATTAAATTACTCTCATATGACTATGAATCGAGGTGGATTTCAGGCTCGCTCAAAAAAACTATAACTGTGAGCTAAATTGGGTAACAAATTTGGTGAGAGCAGTGGAAAACAAAACAGAGAGTAAGTGTGAGTAAATGATGGAGTGAGATCGTATAAGAACAAATACACGATAGGCAAAGTTAAAACGGGAGAAAAGTCAAGAGATTACAATTACACACAAACTTGCATTTCTTATGTGGTTTTTTTGAATAGGTTTTTTTTCTGATAGAAAAATGAAAAGAAGAATATGTACATATATGTTTGTATGTTCATAGAACTTTTTGATTTTGCGTAAATCCATGTGTCAATGTTTCACATTTCATATTTGTTCTCATAAGTTTCACGGGGAGTTAAAAAATCAATGGGAGATATAGCGAATTCGAATGAAAAACAAATGAAATTATTTACAAATCAATTTAATCAAAATTTAGCGAATTAAAAGCGAATTGAAAGCGACATGGAATGAAATGGAATTATTGAAATAAAATAAAAGCTAGCAATTTCACACGTTTTAACATCGAACATATGATTTATTTAGATTTCTTCTACAACAATTATTAACACAACACGAATAACTGTATCGGAATTAATAAGTTTTTGTTTACATTTCGTTTTCGTGATTAATTTTTCACAATTTTCCGCCCAATGGACGAATCTGAATTATTGTTTAATCTTTTTTATTTATTGCTATGTATGTGCATTATATATCCACCAGAAGAATTTCAACGGTTAGGCCTAACAATTGAACAATTATTCTCCCGTTTGCTTGGTGAAGAATATTTAAACTTTGTTCTTTATCATAAAAAAAGGACATCATTAAATCTTTTTGTGCATAGCTGCTTACCGGCATTATATTTTTTAATACATCGTTTTAAGTTTTCGGTTTTCATGGAGCCAGAATTGGAAAAAGAATCGGAGTTAGATCCAGACTTTCCGATGCCTCAAGAGGCCAAGGCATTTAAAACATTAACCTGGAAAGTTGCGCAAAGATTCAGTTTGATGGCAATTTTAGTGGTGCCAGCGTTAATTTTCAACTGGTATCAACAGGATTGGAAACGACATCCTATCTCACAGACTCTATTAAAATTTTCTAATGTGCCGCATAGCAGCATAACGGAAATTATCTCGGACATTGGCAACGAATTCCGTCGGTAAGTATTTTAAAAAGAATAAAATCTTCTAAAAATTTAATCCGAATGTATACATTTTTAATCTGTAGACCCAATATTTATAAGAAAAAGTTAAATTTTATATCAACTGTAATTACAACTGAAAATTGGATAATCAAGACATCGTTATATAATGTATATTTCGCCCATCAAAGTGACACAACCTTAAGTGTAGCAAAGGTAAGCAATCTAAACTACATTTGTTGTATGTTCATCCACAAAGACATAATTATAAAAGTCGGAAAAATTAATGATTGATTTGAGCTAGGCAACGTAATGAATCCTTGCGAATTCATGTTATTATTGAATAGCAATAAGGGGAAACCTTTCTAAAGTTCATAAGATAATAATCAATTCTCCATTTGATTGATTTCAATTCCACTAAGAATGCATTCATCATATTATTAAAAATTTGGTAAAAATAATTAAATCGTCTATTTTATTTATTTCCGCTCCTTTATGAATGTATTCTCAAAGTATTAAAATGAATTTTGCTATATTATGTAATTTCGTCTCCGAGCATTAAGCCATTGAACCATCCAATAACTGGGATATCAATAGTTAAATAGTCTAAATGTTAACATGAAGTTTATCTTTTGAAACAATTCAATATTTTTCAGATTAATTAATGTACAATTATAATCGGTAAATTGCTTAATCTTCCGACTTTTGCAAAGATTATACATACATATATATATATATGTATATACTTTCAAAACATTTAAAATATAATGAAATATATTCAATAATGTTATCTTTATATACAGACGGAGACTTATAACGTATCGGCAGATAATACGGACACACTCCAAATGGTTAGCATTGTAGTAAAACCGAATCGTGTCGGTGTTCCTGATTTTCATATACGCATCAATGCACTTGAATTTCGTAACCTCGAAGAACGTATAACCAGACCAATTGTAATACCATCGAATATACAGTTTCATCGCAATGTTATCGATCGATTTATTGATGTATTTAAAGAACAAGTTACCCATAATCCAATATATAAACCGGATCGTATCGCAGAGAAATGTTTGGGTTGTATGAACGAAGAGCCGAACATTAAAATTCATAAACAATGCGAAGATATTGATCGGGATGGACAGCCATTATTGAGTGAAAATTGCTGTTCAAATTGCTATTGTCGACCTATGTGGTGCGTGGAATGCTTGGCGCGTTGGTTTGCCGCTCGACAAAACGAACACGATCGTGAAGTGTGGTTAGAACAAAAATGCACTTGTCCTATGTGTAGAGCGAAATTCTGTTTACTCGATGTAAGCTATATAGAAAAATCAAATAATACAACCGTTGGAGGTTTAAATGATCCTGATGACATGCGCATATGACTTTAGTCTACCTAATCAATGCAATCATATGTCAACTTATTTAATTAAACAAAATACGATGAAAGCTGTGAGCAAAAAAAAGTTCATTCATTTTTTTTTTTTGTTTTTTTTTTTTTTTTTAATAGCTCTTTAAAAGATTTTTATAAACTAAAAAATACACAAGAATACTTCCGTTTTACATGAGGTCTTTTACTGTTAACTTGTTGATTTAATAACAAACAAACATCTGTACTCATATTCATTATTGCATTAAAGAAAAACGAATATAATTCTAAAAGTACACAATCTTTACATTTTACATTTTAAGGCAAAATTTTTTCTTATAATAATCAAGTATGTGTAAAATAAATGTAATTTTTTTTCATTTTTTTTCTTCCTTTTTTTTTATTTTTCATTCAAAAACTTACTAAACTATAATGTTATCACTTTGTTGAAATACTTCTTTTTATGTTTTTATCTTTTTCTCTCGCCAAAAAAAAAAAATCGTTTTTCAAATAAAAACTATTTTTAATAGATTCTTATCGAAAAGAAAAAAAAAATCTACAAGTAAAAGAAATACTAAATATATTCACTTGGAAATGGGTTTTACATACCCACCACTTTAGTACACGGAAATCAGTTAATTTTGCATTAATTATGGTTGCGCCAATGGGAAAATCGGTGCAAACTGCAATCAATATTCATCCGTATGTCTCTTTATGGCTTTTAAAAAATTTCAAAACACTTCAACTTGAGCACCTTTGCTTCTGTGGCCAGCTTTTCTGTGATACCCGAGCCGATACAAAGAACAAAAGTTTTCTAACCTTCAAAACCGAGTCAGTACGCGTTGTTCTTACGGCTTTTAAGCAATAAGCAGTTACATCCTATTAGACGGCGCCTTGTGGAATAATCTTTGAAACCAATTGAATTTTAAACGCAAACTTTAATGTGTACAACAAGTTATTGGCGCGATGGCAAAAAGATGATGCTGATTCTATAACAATATCAATATATCGGCCGACCTCGCACATGATCCAATCGTGACTCTATTTACTTTCCATTCTTTTTTTTTCCTTTAATTGCTTTGACTGAAGCATAAGTATTTTCAACAAAATTTCCAATAAATGCCATTGATTTTGATAAAATCTATTTATAGTAAAAAAAAAAAATATTGAAATCAGTCTATTTTTTCTGCACTTACAAGGTCCATCACAAGCGAACTGCGGTCACATATGTATATCAATGTTGCGGTCAATATGTCTTTAACTCTTAATTTTAAAATATTGCAAATTAAATAAGAAACTTAATAACTTTTCAAAGAGCGAGTGGTGGGCGTAATTTTGTATTTAAGTACCACTGTTATTCATTCTCTTCCATGTCATTATCTTTTAAAAGATTATTCGTATCCTTATGAACAAATTTTGAATTAAACATAAATTCATTTTAAATATCTCCCTCTCTCTTTCTCTCTATCTCTCTCTATCTCTCTCTCTCTCTCTCTCTCTCTCTCTCTCTCTCTCTCTCTCTCT